TGAAAAACTTCCCCAATAGGGATGAAGTGTAGGTAAGCCACCACTTGGTGCTGCCTGATTGTTATTGTCTCCTTCTGTAGGTTCGCGAGAGCAGCACCTTCACCTCCCCATTCCCAGTAAACAATAACCCTGGAGCCACATGTGGTTTGAGCCATGAGTGCTGATGAGGTGCCAGTATTTCTCCATAAAGCCCCTTAGGGACTTCGATTTTGAGCCCAGTCCCTATTATGCCCTGGTGTCCAGACGGTAAGCTTAAAGGGCGTGTTGCTCAAAGCGGGATTCCTTTATACTCATATATCTGGTTGGGGAGGATCTTGGTCCACCAACTCAGTCACTGGTAGCAAACAGGGATTACTCCATCACTGTATGCTAGATTGATCTGACTGGAGTGGACTGGATCCATTGGGATTCCACCAGAGGAAAAATATAATGGAATTTGTTGACCAAATATGGTAAGGGTTTCTTCCGCCATATCTATCACAACGCCAAATTTCCTCATGAAAGCTGCACCAGATTAACATATTGTAGTGGTTATTTGGCAAAACCACCGCTGGAGCAGACACCTGGACTGACCCAAATCATTAGAGGCAACGCGCTATATGCTCCTTCTGACACAGTGCTGTGCGTTCCCACGGTCCCATATACTACACGATGATCCACATCCAGTTTCAACATAAGTTTAGCCACCAAACGAGTGGAGACTATGTTCACAGGTGCTCCCATGTCTATGATAGCGCGGATTTTCATGTTTTGAACAAATATGTCACAATAAGTACATTCTGAGTAAGAAGAATCATTGGTGTGTATTGCTTGTACATTCAAGGGCTTTGTGCTACTCAAAAAAGAAGAAATGCCCTTGCCAACTTGAGGATACTCACTAGCAATTTTCTCCACCAGAATGGCTACAGTAACCCCTACTAAAGGAGTGACGTTTAGTGAAGGATCCAGTTTGCTAATGCCAGTCTGTTCCAGGATCTGCCACACATATGGCTTCTGCACATCCTGGCGAAAGCTCAGCCCAATGGGGTGAGCCTTTACTCATGGAAGCAGAAGCAGGGGTATCCAATGAAAGCTGCTGGTATAACACATCATCCAATTGAGGTTCAATTTTTACCCAAAAAGATGAGTTGGGGATTGTTGGGGACAAGTGAATTGGACTTAGCGGAGATAGAGCGTCCCATCTCTACTCCGCTCAAGCTTTTCCCTGCTCAATTATCTTTGTTGGCATTGCATACACATGTGGGTGGCTAGGGCAATTGGCTGCATAATGCCCTCTTTGTCCGCACTGGAAGCAAGTGTTCATAAAAGGTGCGCATATATAGTTAGGGGCGGAAGAACCAGGTCAAATATTGCTGGTAAGGTTCCAAGGTCGCGGACAAACTGGTGAAGCGTACCTGGGCCAGAAAGGGTCTATTGACTCATGTGAGAGACAAATATGTTCCAGCGGCTGATAACCCAGTCGCTGCGGCCTATATTCTTCAAGGGTTGGAGTGGGGGCAACAGCAATTTTCTGGGCTATGTTGGGGGCACTGTTCATGGTGGAGAGCCAATGTAAAGCATTCACTATTCAGATGAGTCTGATATCCCCATCCAACACATGGGACATAGCATTATAGAGTTCCCAATATGGTTTGACAGCTGCTGTCATTGCTACATCCACCTCCTCATTATATAAGACATTGGCTCATAACAACACATGAGCCTCATTAGTAAATTGCTCTGCAAACTGTGTTAAAAACTCATTTTTTGAAAAATATTGTTAAAGAAGCTGCCTTGCGTTAAGCCATTTTTGCTTTGCCCCCAAACAGGTGAATTACAGTCTCCTTCACCTCTTGGTACGCTACAGTACTGTCTTTAAGATAACAAGTAACTTGATCAGCACTTGAAACATCCAATGCAGATAACAATAGTGTAGCTTTTTGTTGATTGGAAGCCCCCTCTATGGCAAACTCAAACTGCTTGAAAAACCCATGTATGTTACCATCATGGTTATTTGAGGTCAGCCTGTCACTGCAGATTTCTTTTTCCTTAACAACCTTATCTAATTTATACTCTGCATAGTCTAGCTGCTCTGTCATGCTGCTCAAAAGGTTGGTAAGTTGGTTGGCATGGTCACCCACCAGAAGCAGTTGGCAGAAGGCATGGTTGAGCTGCTCAGTAATAATCTTGTTCTCCTGAAACAACACTGTTTGCACCTGAAGTAAGGTATCCAAAGCAAGCTTCAGTTCCCCATAGTGATTTATTTCAACCATCGGGGGACAGTACCTCATCAGAGCAAGCTGGTTGCACCATAAGTACCATTGATGAAGTTGTGATTAGTTGATCAATGGGCCCCCTGTAGTGAGCACCACTGTTAATTCTCAGCATTTGGGCTTGATTCTGCCAAGTTGGTTTTGCACAGGGTATGAGCCACTGAGCAACCAAATCAGACAATATGAGGATTGCCAACTTATAATAAAACTTAATAAAATATGTTTGGAGCTATTGCCCCTTATTTTGACCTTTATTTAATATAAAGTGCAGACTTATCTGTGCGCTCCTCTTTCTTGTAAAAAACCTCTCCCCTTTAATCTTTCATCAGACTCTTTATACCTCAGTTCCCCAGCTGGATGCGTCCTTGGCTTGGTAATCTTCTATTCTACTTCTCTTTTTGAATTTCTCTCATTTGTATCAAATCTCGGCATAAATCCTCTCGATTCACCGAATGCCTCATTTCAAAGCGCTTAAATTACCAGTACCAGTTCAATTCCGGCAGATTCCATTTATTTTGCCATACTGACTTAGGACTTATTGTCCAGTCATATTGGAATCGTGACACCCGCCATTGCAAGAACCATGGCTAGCAATGATTATTGCTGGCCAGGAATGGTCAGGGGTGCTACCCAGTTAGTGGCTTCCATTCTCATTTTTGTACCACCAGATGAAACCTCATTCTGCCACCCATCTTGCCATATTTCATTTTTTATTTAAATTCAATAAAAATATGGATTTTTTTTAAAAAAGGTTAGTTTGTAGGGTGATATCTGCTTCCACTCTCTAGTGCAGGTTTTTTCAACACGGGTTCAAAACCTGTACTGGCTAGAAATAAATCTCAGTGTGGTATATTTGTCCCAAGGTCAACACCACCTTGATTAACATTTTACTATTATATGACATATTAAAAATATCTAGTGTATCATTATAAGTTATAGTCATGGATCAAACAGATTAACTCAGACTTAAATTAAAGGTTGCAAGCTCAAACGCCATTATTTTAATAAGCTTAGAAAAGATTTTTGATGTCAAGCTGCTATAGAATTGATAGTATTGTATTGAAATCTTTCTACAATTTTGTTGGTAGTTAAATTTTTCTATTGTTAAGACCCCTATGGTAAAATTGGCAGGATTTTATTATAAGATGGTGTTCTTCAATATTCTTGTCATTAGAGAAGATATCCAGATTTCTGACAATCCTAATTAACTACTGTTTTAGGTGTCAAATGACCTCATTATTGACCATAAAAATATTATACATTTCCATCTAATTAATCAATACTACAAAAAATGCAAATATTAAAATGTTATATATTGACCATTAAAAATCAATAATTATATAAAAAGTATGAGTATTTCTGAAAGCCTATAGCTCTTTTTAGTTAAATACATTGTTAATTTGCTGTGCACCAATGCTCCGAACCGAGATAGCGAATAGCAAAGGCGGTCCATGGAGTTCCTGGCCTATTATACGCCGCGCGTGGAGGTTTTTCCGGATTTTATCCTCCTTTCCCATTCATTCGATTTCCCTTAATCGGTGCGGTATTGTCCTCAGGTCGGCCCACCTCGAATAAAATAAATACATTGTTAATTTGCAAAAAAGCTATATTAGATGATATTTTTGTTAATCACATATAGTATTGAAATAAAATAAAAAAGTTTAATGTCACTTCTATTAACTAATCAGTCATATTGGAAAAATAAGTTCACTAAAAATAAAAAAATATGTATTTTTATAACTTTTTAAAAAATCAGACTTAGAAAATATATAGACAGATAGAAATCAGCTGTAAAGTTTATATCAACAGCGTTTTTGTTGAGAAGATTAAGTGTATCAAACCCTTAAAAAGATATATTCATCTATCATAGAAGAACCTTTGGCTTTTGATACTAAGAAAAAGATACCTGGTGTTGTCAAAAATGTTTTTTTGGATCCTCCAGCTATAATGTAGCAAATTAGCTATTAACAGTATCAAATTAAAGCTTGGTATTAATTTGATATAGTCAGAAATATCAATGATATTGTACAATATGAATCCAAAGAATCAAAAATTTTATAAATTAGGTATCTTTAGTTCAGCTGCTCTGCATTACATAACTTGAAGCAAGCAATAACTATGATTGAGGACATATCTCTATAATTTACTAGTACCACCCACTATATATTTCAACAAATATGCTACTATATGTCTCTAATCTAGTTGAATTAAACAAAAGGTTATAAAAAGTAAATGAAGATCTATTCATATGCTAACTTACATCATTCATCAAAGCTATACATAGCTTATATTGTATTTAAATCTGAATATAATGCCACTAAAAATACTGAATATTGATTAGAGTTACATAAATATAGCAAGTATAAGTTTGATATAGATATGATTACAACAATAAGATGAAGTGCTAAATTTAAGTTGCAACCCACATAAACCCAAATTAATATATACAGCAGTAATGATGCTATATTTATTGTGATCATATGTAAAATAGTAATATGTCAATCTGTCAACTATTGTCATGATCAAACCCAACATTGCTGCATACTCTGCTAATATAGAGTTTGTATTTCTATTCAAATTTTATAAAATATATGGGACATTTAAAATTTAATGAATTACATGTTAATTACATATACTATGCTCAATTTGACATTTTATAGATGACAGTTTATATGCTTTAGGATGCAAAATTTGATATAAAAACATTATGCTGATTTCAATGGATATTATAATTATTAAACAAAAGAAGACCAGCTCGGCGCAGGGGAAGCGCTCTGGGCTCACAACCCCGAGGTCGTAGGATCGAAACTTACCCCTGCTAGTATAATAATTTTTCCTTGTCTTTTACTTTTTAAAATTAATTCGCTGGGTCAAATTGAAACCATATGAAAAATAAAAAAATCATTTTATTAAAGCACAATCCAATATCTGCATTTGATTTTGACAATATCTTTTTTTAGTACTAGATGGTATTTTGACAATATCTTGTTCTTTGAAAACCACCGTTTTTGTACAGTGAGATAGTCCATCACCAAGCATTTTTAGTCTCATGATAGCTCTTGCAGGTTTGCTTGATCAGCATACCTAATGCTGTAGTTTGGTTTATGCCTATAAGGGATATGGCCTTTCATCTCACACATTCCCAATCTATGCAATTTGAGAATCAAGCATATTAAAAATCTGATGTATGGTATAGCATTCATTTAAAATATAACATTGAGTCTCATATGCCAAAAAGAAAACCTTAGATTTGTCTTGGAACTGTTTACATTAGTTGGATTTCTAGAATTCCATTATTTTAAGGGCAATTTTGATCTCTGTTCTATTACCAAGGCTGATTCAAAACTTGCATTTTAGATAACTCTGTATATAAATGGGTCTTTCCATTAACATATCCATGGGTAACAAATAAAACCAAAATGATAGTAAAGTTTATATAATTAATCTCATACCTTCCCAAAGGCATCTACAAGTAACTTATGGTGGTGTTGGATTAGTAGTTTGTCCAGCATGTCTCAAACTAAACTAACTTTGAGAAAATGCATAATATTGAATAATTTCAATATATTATAGATTACCTTAACCATCAATTACTTAATGAAATGACAACTGATTTATAGGGGCTCATTAAAGTATTAAAACGTTAGAAGCCAAAAAAATAAAGTAATGGTGCGTTCATATCAGAACAGGCTGTTTTAGGATTTTCAAAATCAGCACAAATAATGATGCAATTTTGATACTGGTATAATATAAGTTAGTTAAGTCTTAATTATTAAACAGAGGTCATATTTATTAGGACAATATATTCCTTGAAATAGATTGGCCTGTCCTAATGAAGTAGATGGTTTGGGGCAAGGGTTTTAGCAGGTAAATTAGCAGAATTCTATTATCTAGATTTTAATTTACTCCTAAATTCATATATAAAAGAATAAACTAAAATCAGAGAATTATTATAGCTGCCATCAATTAAAAGAGGCTGAAGCGAAGAATCCATAGAGTGTTCCACTTGGGGTTGTTGTATATCAATCATCAAATAAGGTAAGTGCTTGAGATATCATGGTTGGTGTCCAGCTGGTGAATTTGATTTTAGAGATTGTCAAATATGTAAATTAGTAGACTTGGTACAAAAAAGATATCAGAGAATATACTTTTAAATGATGGTAATAAAACTCTATAATACTTAATGCAAAAATCACAGAGATTTTTGGAGCTTAAGACTAGTTCTGAGGAACAACCAATTAACTGTATAGTGGCTAATAGTGCAGATCATCTAGAGTCTATTAGTCCATCAAACAAGTATGATACACACTCATAGATATACCTACTCAAGTACTACTTGCATTGAAGATAACGTTAATAGATTTATAAATTGAGCAACAATTATCTATACCACCTTCCATGTTAGCTATGATATGGTAGGTTTACCTGATTTAGTATTTCATGGGCCATTAGGCTTTTCTTTAGTGGTAATAGCCATATCCAAAGGAGGTCCCTAAAAGCTCACAAATGTATAGTGAAGGTTGGCAAAATCTTTTTATAATAGGACTTACCTACTGAATAAGGTTAGATGTATTGAGAGAACTTCCTAATAAAGAAAACCATATACTTATGAGGAAAGTTATATATTTAATATATAATGATAGTTTAGATAGTACAAGAAAGGATTGAAAATAAAATAGATGGTGGTAATATTTTAGATGATGAAGTATAGGCGCACACACATGTGAAGGTGTAATATGATTTATTAATGTGGGATGTGATGGCATAGTCTCAGTTCAGGGTTAGAATAGATAAAAATTCTTCACTGAAGTCTGGACTAAGAGCAATAATGGTAACAAAGGTAGGTGGTTCCCATTCTCTTCCATTGGGAAGCTATTAGATAGCAAGGTAGATAAATGGTATAATGGTGTAAATGGGTAAAATAAAAGAGTTAAATGTTGAATAAAATCCTTGAGCTTAATATAAAGATTATATTAAGTTGATATGGGCATTCATCCTTATCTCATCAGTCAAAGTAGCACTAATCAGGAAATTCATCCAGAACTCATTGGGTTTTTTTAACTCAGCATTGTTATGGAAAATCACTCAATGCTTTAAAGTAGATCATTGTTAATGATTTAGGGCAGCTGCCCAATAAAACATTGATTGGTAATTAATGATAATTTTTTGGGCATTATGCATAAGAAAGTTTCAATCAATAGTTTGATAATTATATTTTTAGGCTTTATGCCTGAGTAAACATCTTGACACTTATAAATATTGTTTTTGGACATAGGCCCAAGTAAGAGTTGAACAATAATTAAAATGATAAAAAATTTTAAGATGAAGTTGAGGGAAGCAACAAATAAGCAAGGAACCATAAGTTGAGGCTTCACTTAACCTAGGGTGAATCCCAACCAAGCCTTATGTCTTGAATGGGGGTGAAAATGAGTTTTCCATGTCTTCCAACTTTGGTAGTGTACCAAGCTGCCAGAGTTGGATTGAGGGTTATAAACCAAGGAAGTTGAGTTAAATGTGGGCCTGGTGAGCATGAGGTTAGGTTCAGCTGCAGCTTATACAGACAGTTTTTAGATTGGTGGAGCAGGGCACATGCAAGAGGCTGATGCAAATAGGGCTTAACGTAAAAGTTGAGGGTTGCAATGATAGCTTTGATGCTTTTCACTTGGATAACATGATTGATATCATTAGTTGTTAAAAAGGTGCACCTGGCATGCTACCTGAAGTTGGAGACCTCATGGCTGATTTCAGAGATGCAGAGATTGACATCCATCACTAGATCCCCAACCTCCACTTTGAAGATGTTAATGGTAAGAAAATCATACAGAAATTCTACGCCAAGGGAGAATGCAGGTAATAGACAGGCGGCAACATCAACCAGGGGAGTTGGATAGGCATAGGTCCCCTGAACATGGTCAGCTTTGGAGATTTCACCTCAAGCTTCTATGTGCAGCTCCTTGGCCTCGCTCTTAGTGGCCTCAAACCAATCATACTCCTGAGGATTGTACACAATGAAGTCTTTCATCCTAAAACCAGGTGGCCAAACTTGGCATTGTGCCCTTTGATGATAGGGGAGTGGTTGATGAGATGTAGTAAGATATCTTGCAAGTTGGCTACTAGAAGATGGGAGAGGGCGGTACAGAGGGCAACCAGAATGCCAAGCCAGACCCCCTAAGCTTGAGGGCTTGAAGATTTTGTTTAGCATTGATTTAACTCAAGATATTAGTCAGGGGGCTCACCATTGGTTTCATTTGCCAAATGGAAATTTACTGCATTGACAGATAATATAAAGAAATGAGAGGTGTCAGGTGGGAAGATCTAATAAACACATTGAGATAGGGAGTACTACAGTCACTTTTTTGATTGACAGATTAGTAAAGGCAGAAGATTATGGCACAGCTTCGCTTAGATATAAAAAGGCAGTCATATGGTAACTTCTTTAATTTACCCAGATTTGGTTGATGTAGATATGAGTTTTTACACCAAAAATAAAACCTAAAATATTAGTAAAAATAAGTGGTAAATTAAATATTGGGAATAAGGAAAATGAGAAAAAGACAAAATTTGGTTTTAATAGCTATGATTTTAGGGTCTGAGCAGTGAGGAGCCTTGATACAGGAAATGGAGAAGGTCATGGCATTTGAGTTGGATGTTTCATCAGCAAAACAGTAAAAAGCATCGGATCCAGGAGAAGGAGAAGTACCAGAGCAACTAGTTTGGCTTTCTCATCATCAGAATAGCAAAGAGATAATTCAGGCAACTAGATGAGTGCAGAAGCTTTTGGCTTGGGTGTTCCATTTTAATTATCAGAACAGTGAGGGCGTCAGCACAGGGAATCAAAAAGGATCAAGAGGCTGCTGGTTTGGCTATCATATTGCTGGAATAGCAAGGACCCTCAGCATTAGGAAATGAAAGAGGCATGGAGGCATGTGGTTCTGTTGATTCAAGGCTAACCTTAAAAACAGCCGTGAGCATCAGTAGAAAAAGTGCATCAGGCGCAGAGGCATTCAAGTTGACTGGTTCAATATCATTATCATAACAAAGGTGGGCATTAGTAATCTTGTCATCCCAGCAGTTAGTTGGAGTTTCCTCAGAAAGTGATTCCTCAAGATTAGTTTCTAGTCAAATAATAATAGACCTGGATTCAGCTCTTCTACTTAAAACTTTTCTTAAGAGTATTAAGAGGAGCTGTCATAGGCAGATGCTTCCATAAGGTATGCAGAAGTATCCATTATAGTGTTAAAGTAGATACATTGAGCATCAGGGATATCTAATTACATGCTTTGGATTTGTATAAGTTATTCAAGAAAAGTGTCTTTGATATCAGTTATGGCATCTTTTAGTTCCATGAGTGCTTCATCATCACTCTTGCTCACAACATTATTTTCTCTTGTAATTCTGTTTGCAGTATCATATGCAATATTAGTGATTATAAAGAGCTGCTTTTTGCTTAAGTGTATATTACACATCCATTCTACATCGCAGCTCACCTTTCCGCTAATTTCTTCTAGTGTTTTGGCTAGTCTATAACATAAGTTGTTCATGGTTTTTTTCAATAGCCTTATAATTTTGAGCTTCACTAAAATGCCACTGGTAAGCATTCAACAGATCTTCTACTGGTGTTTGGTGAAAAGGTTTTGTTTTAATAGAAAACTCAGATTAGTCTAAAGCCATTCCTTCATTTATCCTAGTTCCATTGGGATTCTTGGTGTAGCTCAGAGAGGACCTGGCAGGGAGAAGCATTTTTCTTCAACCACCATGCTTTTCTTTAGTGGCACAGACCATATCCAAAGTTGTCCCTCAAAACTTGCAAAGTTAGGGATATGTT